AAACTCTAAACTGTATATACATAGAATATATACATTTTCAAAGTTAAAGAAGATAAATCTGTCAGTGTGAAAAAAGGTGTCCCCCACCCCCATCCCCAACTGGGATTCTGCTATACGCAGACGGCTTAACCACATCGGCCACTTGGGCTTCGTTGGAAATTCTAATCTGAATTTATTCACAATCTTTTGTTCTCGACGCACAGCGAATAACATACGTACAGTATAATGCTCGAGAGCTAATAGCTATATTATTATATATGTATATGTATATTATATATACAAAGGCCTATAAATAGTTATAGAGTAGACATACCGTAACCGTACTCTTGACACTGACTAGACACATGCCAATTTCTGTCTGTACATAAACATGGAGTGAATGGTGTACACATGATTTTACCTATTTTTAATCAACTGCGTAACGATACAATAATTATTGTACACGTATTGTCGAACATTACAATTCGTGTGCAAAATCTAAATTATTCAGTTTTTGGTGTTCCTGTCTGTGTATCTCGGGCACAGCGGAAGTTGGAGCAGAAAACATAACCTAATTATAGGTCTAAAAGACATAGGTCTACAAATAGTTTAATTACAGTGGAAGTAGAAAAGGATTTAATTGACACAATTTCACCGCTGGATCGTTTATGTAATGAAATAAAACATCCAGCATTTGTCGTAGCGCCAAAAGAATACAATTACTGTACTGTCATTTATTAACTTGTAGCCTGCCGTATTTGATTGAGAAAAGTGGAGTTGGTAGTTCAGATCCTCGTCTTCCAATCCCATTGTCCTGGGCATGTTGGCGTCGGACAGGCCTGGGCCTCCCAATGGTTAATAACTCATATTATACATATGCAATATATCATATCGTAGGTCTATAAATACGGTACTAAAATAGCAATAATAAAAACATAGGTAACATTTACAGATTTCATCATCACGACTTGAAGAGATAATTTTTGTATTTGAACTCTACTCAATTTATTGATGGCGAGTTTCTAATACTGTTTTCAATATTACTCCAGATAATGGGGCCATGTCCTCTAACTGTATTTCTTGCAAGATCTGTAGTAAATGTACGGTATGGTCTATACATATTCTCCTGGTTCCATAGGAATGAGTAGAGTAAGATTTTCAGAATAAGTAATTAGAGAAGCTACCTGGAAGGGAATTATTATTGAACTTATACATAAATAAAGCAATTTGTACCTTATGAATGTCGAAAACAGTAAAAGTTTTCAATCACAAAGATGATGAATGAGCAAGTTAATGAGAAACTGTACAAAGACAAACAATATTTTTTTTTTTTTTTTTATATGTATTGATTTTAAATTAGTTTGTTATCAGCCCAGATTATGTTACAGTATTGAATATGAGGTAAAACAAGAGTTGAATAAAGAATTTCAAAGGCAAGACATGTTCAAGAGGCAAAAAAGAATACCAGTACACATGTACATAGAAATTAAATAATGTATGATATCTTGTTTTGTTCGGACCCCTCTGTTGAACTTGTTGGATCCATTGTCAGCAAATTTCTGGAGCCATCGCTGGTCCTTGGTTGAATTCCTGTCAGTGATAGGGCTTTCCCCATGACAAAAACGAGGGTTATACTTTTACTGTCATTAATAACCGCCAGATATGCAATACATGAAGCTATTATTACATATTAACTGCAATAAATCACAATGATTAACATTGCATTTCCACAAGATGTCAGAATTTTGTTATAAACCTGCATTAAAACTACATATATATCATTACCTAATAAGGTAGTTCTAGTGATGATATATGAAATGGATATTGTTTAAAATTATACATTGGCAGTGGGGTATCTAGGGGTGCGTGGGGAAGCCCTCCCCTTCCACGCCCACTTCCAAAAAAGTCTCCCCTCCCCCTATGAAAATGTTCAAAGCAAAAACATCACACGCAAAGGTAGTTAAAAATCACCTTATTTTGCGTGCTAGCACACCCTCAATTAAGCATCGATCATTGGTCTACTATGAGAGCTCCCATGGATGCACCCGAGGCTGTGGCAGGGCAAACTAACCTGCTCTTTTGTTTGCAATTCATCCACAAATTTACCAAATAGTTAAAAAAAAAAACCAGTCTCACCGAGTTCATTAAGGCAGCTCTTAACAGAGCTCTGAAGAAAATTGATTATCAACGTATAAGCGGCGCTTATACAATTTTTGGAGGCTTGCGCTTATTATGAGAAAAGGTATCATTAAATTGCCTTGTTTAAAAGCTATTTCTACACTATCAAATTATCTCTGATAAAAAGCTGTTGTATGCCCATATATATAGTCGTGATGTCATCAACACCATGTTTAGGCATGTCACATGTTTCTGTCAAATAATATTTGATAGTCTGGACAGGGCTTAGGAGATGCCTGTCCTTAAGTGGCACAATGCTAAAATAGAACCAGAGCCTTGCAGGCGTCAACGTTCCTATGCATGATACATGACTTTAAGTATTATATATACGTATATATATATATATATATATATATATATATATATATACGTATGTA